GAGTTGGCAGGACCCCCAGCGGAACCTCCAAAGGCACGGGACATAGATTTGGCAGGACCCCCGGTAGAAGAGTAGTCGGCGGGACCTCCAACGAAACAGGACAAGGGATTGGCAGGACCCCCGGCAGAAGAGTAGACGGCGGGACCCCAATGGGACAGGACATAAGTCTGGCAGGACCCCCAGCGGAACCTCCAATGGCATGGGACATAGAGTTGGCAGGACCCCCGGTAGATGAGTAGTCGGCGGGACCTCCAACGGAACAGGACAAGGGATTGGCAGGACCCCCGGCAGAAGAGTAGTCGGCGGGACCCCCAACGGGACAGGACATGGAGTTGGCAGGACCCCCAGCGGAACCTCCAACGACACTTGAGTAGGGACTGGAGTGGGGACTCGAGAGGAAACTTGAGAGTTGACTTGAGAGGTGACTTGAGAAGGATCTCGAGAGGGNCGCCTCCAACGTCACAGGACAAAGGGATGGCAGGACCCCCGGTAGAAGAGTAGACGGCCGGACCCCCAAGGGGGTCATGCCAACCCTATGTCCAGTCCCGTTGGGGGTCCGGCCGTCTACTCTTCTACCGGGGGTCCTGCCATCCCTTTGTCCTGTGACGTTGGAGGCGCCGCCGACTACTCTTCCACCGGGGGTCCTGCAAACCCTATGTCCTGTCTCGTTGGATGTCCCGCTGACGACTCTTCTGCCGGGGGTCCTACCAACCCTGTGTCCTGTTCCGTTGGAGGCCCCGCCATCTCCTGTCCTGCCGAGGGTCCTGTCAACTCCTGTTCTGTCGGGGGTCCCGCCGACAACTCTTCTGCCGGGGGTACTGCCAACCCCTTGTCCTGTTCCGTTGGAGTCCCCGCCATCATCTGTCTCACCGGGGGTCCTGCCAACTCCTGGTCCTCATCCGTGGGGGATCCTGCCGAGGCCTATCCCACCGGCTCCGGTTCCTGTTCGGCCGACACCGGGCTCTGCTCGGCCTCTGGAGCTGTCTGGTCTTCGCCCTCGAGCCCGGCCCCCTGAGAGTCGCGGTCTTCGCCCTCGAGCCCGGCCCTCTGAGAGCCGCAGTCTTCACCCTCAATCCCGGCCCCCTGAGAGCCGCGGTCTTCGCCCTCGAGCCCGGCCCCCTGAGTGGCCGCATTCTTCGCCCTCGAGCCCGGCCCCCTGAGGGCCACGGCCTTCGCCCTCGAGCCCGGCCCCCTGAGTGCCGCGGTCTTCGCCCTCAAGCCCGGCCTCCTGACTTTCCCGGCCGTGGTCCTCGCCCTCATGCTCGGCTCCCTGACTTTCCCGGCCGCGGTCCTCGCCCTCATGCTCAGAGTGTTCTGTTCAGTCTTTGTTAATAGTTTTGCCTTGAAATAAAGGAGTTATTTTTGTCACTTTAATCTGCATTTGGGTCCTGCTTCCTACATACACCGTAACACTTATCCAGAAAAGCCCGGTTTGGACACTTTACGGGCAGAAGAAACATTTCTATTAAAGAAAGAATTATACATTTTGGTCTTTTTATGCCTTTAATAGCTACTAACTTGAATTGTTATTCTAATTAATCAATTATTTTTTATATTTTATTGTAATGTAGAGACGAGACCTTTAGCGACAATCATGTATTGCTTTACAATTATATGTAAAAAAAAAAAAGTCTAAATATGATATTTGGCCTCAAATCATATGAGGCCTGGCGCCCCCCCTGCGATCTTTGGCGCCCCCCCCAAGGGGTGCGTGCCCCCCAGGTTGGGAACCACTGGTTTATGGGATGGTGAAGGGTGTTTGCACAACTAGGTAGCTAGCTGAACACAATTTCAATAAATGGTAAATACATTGCATTATAAAGCTCTGTTTTAGACTTTGCAACCAATTCAGTGTTTTTACAATCAGCATTCACGCACATGCATACAGAGGCTTCTATACAAAGTGTCTGCTCATTAGGAGAGATATTCACTCACACACTGGCTACACAATTGAGAGGGATTTGGCGTTTCAATGTCGTGACAGACTCAAGGACCAACTGCCAACCTTGCCAATGGAGGATGTTCACTCTACCTCCTGACTCACAGCAGCACATTATCATTGGGAAGGTATCATTATTATATATCACTAGAGTCACAAGGGAGATTAATGATAGAACTCTGATAGCTGTGGTTACCTAGATGTTTGCCTAAAACTGGTCGAAAGGTAACCGATGATGCCTCTGAAGAGTAACAATATGGCTGACCTGATGTGAGTGATTTTTTATTTTATTTAACAGGCCTAGTTAATAACCCTATCACCAAACCTGCACTCACACTCCAAACTAATATTTACATCCTACAGCCTGTGTGCTGCAGGTCTGAAGGTGCCGGAGAGTATTGACAGTCCAACCTAGAGTCTGATATCCTCTCTGCCTCCGTTTATGGCTTTAGTATTTCATCCTGTTGACGCCTGAACTGGCTTTCTATTTGAATGCCCATTTTGATTATGGCATAAGGGATTATAACTTCATCTTTATATATGTCAGGGAAAGCATGAGAGGCAGCCAGCATTGGGTAGAAACCTTCAACGTTAAAGTAACCATGAACATTTTTACAACAAAAGTGCATCGAAACAATGGCGTTTTCAGAGCTCGTTACTGTAATCACCCACATATTTAGTCTATGGCATCACAAGCTATAACAATGGCTTCATTATAATTATGCTTTTTATCAGAATTTGTTTTAATGATGTAATGAATTATATATGTCAAGGCTGCAATCACCCCCTTACTTTTAGAAAAATGTTTATCCAACTTCAATGACTTCGAAATGCATTTCTGTTTGTCTGGATTTTATGCAAATGAGGGCGTATCAAATTCAAGAGACTCTTGTGGAGCTATCAATGATTAATTTGCAATGACCTTTTCATAATGAAAATAAGGAAGCTGCTTAATACAACGAATCATAAAAAAAGAACTTTGCCTTTTTTTAAGCCGTCCACTTGCTGCTAATGTGAAATCCTTGTTTATCACTCACTTATTTGCTCAGTTTATATTAAAATCTTGAAGCATCTGCTCAGTTACCTTATCTACACTAATGTCATGATAATAATGATAATTGATGTGGCTTGAGTACACAACGAAAGCTACTTATATGAAAGTATATTGTAAGAGAAAGGAGAAGGAGAGAGAAACACAGAGAGAAAAAGGCATACAAGTACCATCGTTTGGGCAATATAACGATACAAAAAACTCACAAGTAAGAACCTTAACATGTTATGAAACTAAGTGCTTGGTACATTTCAGATTCTCGATGACTGCATTGCATTCAGGAGCAAAAAAAAAAGAAATGTGATGCTCTTATATTACTGTGAAAAGTCTTGTTCACGTTGACTGTACCAGCTGCATATCTAAAGCTTCAGCAGTGCAGCAGGAGCAGCTTCAGCCCTCTGTCAGCGTCACTGAATGCATTGCCACATACAGTACGTACTGTGCACTACAAAGGTAAGTATCACAGAACCAAAAGATGTTATGTGTTTATATTTTTTTATTTCGGTCTGGTATATCGCGTGTGTTATGATAGTAATGGCAAAAAAGATGGCTTACAACGGCATAGAGAGTATGTGACCAGATCAGTGAATTTCACCACAACAGTTTCAGTTGTCATAAGAGTAGTGGTTTAATGGGGAGAGATCATAACTCGGTTGTCCATGTGATTTCTGTTCAATGACGTGACCACCTTCCCTGTTAAGGCTAGTGTTCAAGCAGATTCTGATACTTAAAACCACCCCGACAGTATATGACCCAATTTCGTAAGCTTCAAAGACTTTAGGTCATGTGTTGGCACGCTGAGCAAAATGGGTGGATGTGGGTTATTAGGTAGGTGGAGTTAGTGGGGAATATTTTCTTGAAGAAATAGAGATGTAGGAAGATGTTGGAAAGCTCTTGGATGAAGATGAGTTAAGTCGGACCACTTTTGTTTATGTTATTATTCCACAGGGATACGTGTTGTGTTTGTGTTTGCGCTGTCCCACACCTTTAGATAATAAATACTTGTAAGAAAAGAAGCAAAGCGAGCTTCTGTTCAAAACAGGATAAGTTCAGCTGAAGGGCTTTTGGTGAACCTCCATCCTCGTCATTGTTTACAATTCAGTTCGTTTGGATTTCAAGAACAAGGCATTGAGCCGTCACTCTAAAACTGAGAGGGCCAGGATGGAACACAGCACAAAAAGTATCTCGAGGAGACAGAAACAGAGCAGGGAAAGACAGAAAGACTTTCTGGCCGGTATATCATATGTCACTTGCTGTGCAAAGAAAGTAGAGTAGACATAAAGGGAAAGAAAAACAAAGTCATTATAAACTGACTCATTAAAAGTAGAACAGACCCAGATTACGTCAGTTTTAAGATCTGATTTAACAGAAATCTGATTCTGGTTCTAATTGCAAAGTTTTTTATCAGAGAGTTGTAGGACAGAATGCTTTATTATAACAGTACTTTTAAGAGGGACTTAATTAAGAGGAGCACCATATCACTCCTTTTCACTGCTTTTCTTTCATCGTTGTCTTTTTACGCTTTAACTTCCGGGTCAAATCCCCAAAGTAAATACACAAGCCGAGAGAGCATGCAGTTACTTTCTGGCTGATAATATAGGTTACTT